GCAAAAGGGCATGAGGCCGCATGAGAACTTCTGTACCCCCTGCATGTGCTAGCGACCAGACCGGAGCTAAGGGAGGATGTGGCTCTGCTCTGACTGGGTACTGGGAACTGTAATTGGGATGGACTAGCCAGGTGCTAACGGACTCCTGGCCCACTCCCACCTGCCTCGTCCCCTCACACCCCACCCGCCTCATCCCTGTCACGGGTTCGGTCACAGAGACCCCCTTGGGACTGTCACCCAATGTGCTGAAACTACCTCTGAGCCTGTTTTCCCTGCCAGCTTGGGACTCCAGAACCCTGCCTTGTTGAGCCAGACACACCAGCATGCTGCAAACACAGACCCAGGGTCTGAACCATGCCCCAAAGCTGCAGACTTGAACTGAAAACCACTCAGCAGGTGCTCCTGTCTCCAGCACCCTAACACCCAGTCCCCACTGAGATCCAAACCCCAAATAAATCCGTTTTCCCCTGTATAAAGCTTATACAGGGTAAACTCATAAATTGTCCACCCTCTATAACACTGATAGAGAGAGATGCACAGCTGTTTGCTCCCCCAGGTATTAATCACTTACTCTGGGTTAATTAATAAACAAAAGTGATCTTATTAAGTATAAAAAGTAGGATTTAAGTGGTTCCAAGTAATAACAGACAGAACAAAGTAAGTCACCAAGCAAAGTAAAACAAAACACACAAGTCTAAGCCTAATACATTTAAGAAACTGAATACAGTTAAATCTTACCCTCAAAGATGTTCCAATAAGCTTCTTTTACAGACTGCAGAGGGGAGCCGTGATAGTCTGTATCAGTAAAAACAACAAGGAGTCCTTGTGGCACCTTAGAGACTAACAAATTTATTTGGGCATAAATTTGTGGGCTATAACCCACTTCATCAGATGCATGGAGTGGAAAATACAGTAAGCAGGTATAAATATACAGCACATGAAAAGATGGGAGTTGCCTTACAAAGTGGGGAGTCAGTGCTGATGAGGGCAATTCAATTAGGGTGAGTGTCACCCATGCCCATCAGTTGACAAAAAGGGGTGAATATCAACAGAGGGAAAGGTTTCAAAGTAGCAGCCCTGTTAGTCTGTATCCGCAAAAAGAAAAGGAGTACTTGTTGCACCTTAGAGACTAACAAATTTATTTTAGCATAAGCTTTCATGAGCTACAGCTCACTTCATCAGATCTTTATGCTCAAACAAATTTGTTAGTCTCTAAGGTGCCACAATCCTCCTTTTCTTTTAACAGAGGGAAAATTATTTTTTGAAGTGCTAACAAGGCCAATTCAATCAGGGTGGATGTGGCCCATTCCCAGCAGTTGACAAGTTGATACTCACACCTTCTTAGTCTGGGCCCAATCCTTTCCCTGGTACAGTTCTTATTAGTTCCAGCTCAGGTGGTAACTAGGGGATTTCTCATGACTGGCAGCCCCCTTTGTTCTGTTCCACCCCCCTTTATAGCTTTGGCACAAGGCAGGAATCCTTTGTCTCTCTGGGTCCCCTCCCCTCCTTCTAAATAGAAAAGCACCAGGTTTAAGATGGATACCAGTACTAGGTGACAGAGTAGCAGCAGTGTTAGTCTGTATCAGTAAAAACAACAAAGAGTCCTCGTGGCACCTTAGAGACTAACCAATTTATTTGAGCATAAGCTTTCGTGAGCTACAGCTCACTTCATCGGATGCATACTGTGGAAACTGCAGAAGACATTATATACACAGAGACCATGAAACAATACCTCCTCCCACCCCACTCTCCTGCTGGTAATAGCTTATCTAAAGTGATCACTCTCCTTACAATGTGTATGATAATCAAATTTGTGCTGGAAATGGCCCAACTTGATTATCATACACATTGTAAGGAGAGTGATCACTTTAGATAAGCTATTACCAGCAGGAGAGTGGGGTGGGAGGAGGTATTTTTAAATGCTTTGTGTGTATAAAATAAGATCTTCTACACTTTCCACAGTATGCATCCGATGAAGTGAGCTGTAGCTTACAAAAGCTTATGCTCAAATAAATTGGTTAGTCTCTAAGGTGCCACAAGTACTCCTTTTCTTCAAGTAAACAGAGTTATTTACAACCAATTGTCCTGGTTAATGGGAGCCGTCAAGATTCTAAACCACCATTAATGGCCCACACTTTGCATAATTACAATAGGACTTCAGAGTTATACTTCATATTTCTAGCTTCAGGTACAAGAATGATACATTCATACAAATAGGATGACCACACGCAGTAGATTATAAGATTTGTAATGATACCTTACAAGAGACCTTTAGCATAAAGTGTATACCAGTTACATCATATTCACAAAAAGAAAAGGAGTACTTGTGGCACCTTATCTGATGAAGTGAGCTGTAGCTCACGAAAGTTCATGCTCAAATAAATTGGTTAGTCTCTAAGGTGCCACAAGTACTCCTTTTCTTTTTGCGAATACAGACTAACACGGCTGTTCCTCTGAAACCTATCATATTCACACTTATAAACGTATTTCCATAAAACATACGGAGTGCAACCTCACAGTCCCCTCAAACCCCACCCCCACCTCCCTCATCCCCTCGAAAACCACCCCCACCTGCCTGGTCCCCTCATACCCAGCCCCACAGTCCACCTCCACCTGCCTCTTCCCCTCATCCCCCTCCCCCCCTTAGGGTCACACTATCAATGGGCTCAGCCCCTCGGCTTCACCGCCTCCTGGGACCGAACCTCTGGCACCTTCAGCACCCCTGGGTCACACTGTGAGCTCCCTGCAGAGAGCTCACCTGAGTTTGACACCTGGGGAGACTTGCACCCCAACTTCCTGACTCTGCAGCGACTCTCAGCCAGTGGGGTAACAGCAGGAGGATTATCTGGTGTGTGGACACAGCACAGAGCGGCCTTAGTTACCACAGAGAAGAGAAATGACAGGTTTCAGAGTAACAGCCGTGTTAGTCTGTATTCGCAAAAAGAAAAGGAGTACTTGTGGCACCTTAGAGACTAACCAATTTATGTCTCTGTGTATATAATGTCTTCTGCAGTTTCCACAGTATGCATCCGATGAAGTGAGCTGTAGCTCACGAAAGCTCATGCTCAAATAAATTGGTTCGTCTCTAAGGTGCCACAAGTACTCCTTTTCTTTTAGAAAAGAGAAAGTTACAGCAAAGTCCAGCTGGGTCAGTCCAGAGCCCTCTCACCCCTCTTCAGCCCCAGTCCAGAGGCTTCTCCAGCCTCCAGCAGCCCACAGGTAAGAGCCCCACCTGGCCCCTCGCCAGTCCTTTGTCCCCCATCCGGTCACACCCACCTGGCTCCTAAGGGCGGGGGAGGGGCATCCAGGGTCTTTTTTTTGCTAGGTGCCAAGAGTCCCAGCAATTACAGTGGCCATTGTCCTCTGGGACTTTCCATGGGCCCCCAGGCAGCTCGGGGTGAGTCACGCCTGTGTCTCTGTGTCTCTGCAAAGAGCCAACAACTATTCCCCCCCACAACTAGTTACCCATATACCACATGGGGGAAACTGAGAAACACAATATTCATCCAATATATTATGCCCAATTCCCACGCCGTCACAGGCTTCTCCATCATCCCGCCATCCTAGGGGACCGAATGGCTAGGCAGCAGTTCTGCGGAAAAGGACCTAGGGGTGACAGTGGACGAGAAACTGGATATGAGTCAGCAGTGTGCCATTGTTGCCAAGAAGGCCAATGGCATTTTGGGATGTATAAGTAGGGGCATAGCGAGCAGATCGAGGGACGTGATCGTTCCCCTCTATTCGACATTGGTGAGGCCTCATCTGGAGTACTGTGTCCAGTTTTGGGCCCCACACTACAGGAAGGATGTGGATAGATTGGAGAGAGTCCAGCGAAGGGCAACAAAAATGATTAGGGGTCTGGAACACATGACTTATGAGGAGAGGCTGAGGAAGCTGGGATTGTTTAGCCTGCAGAAGAGAAGAATGAGGGGGGATTTGATAGCTGCTTTCAACTACCTGAAAGGGGGTTCCAAAGAGGATGGCTCTAGACTGTTCTCAATGGTATCAGATGACAGAACGAGGAGTAATGGTCTCAAGTTACAGTGGGGGAGGTTTAGATTGGATATTAGGAAAAACTTTTTCACTATGAGGGTGGTGAAACACTGGAATGCGTTACCTAGGGAGGTGGTGGAATCTCCTTCCTTAGAAATTTTTAAGGTCAGCCTTGACAAATCCCTGGCTGGGATGATTTAACTGGGAATTGGTCCTGCTTCGAGCAGGGGGTTGGACTAGATGACCTTCTGGGGTCCCTTCCAACCCTTATATTCTATGATTCTATGATTCTATTCTATGATCCTGACTGCTTGTGGGCGGAATTAGCTTCAAAACACGCCACGGGACAGCGGCATTTCCTGCTTCCTCCTCCCCATAGAGGGGCCAGAAGGAGTTCACGGACCCCAGGGCGTGGTCATGGCCGTGGGCTCCAGCCCCTCCTGGGTGCACTCCATATCAACAGACTGGGGTCAGGCCCTCCCTGGGGCAGCAGGGGTTTGGGGCTGTAGCTGCAGCTTTCCTGAGTCAGGAGCCAAGGAGCCCAGTAACCCACCTCTGAGGGTGGGGTGGGGGAGCTAAGGGGCCCAGGGACCTGAGGCTCTGGCTGGGGTGGTGCTGCCTGGCCCTGTGCCCTGGGCCTAGCCCCACAGTCAGTTCCTTACATAACTATTCACTTTTGTTTCCTTGTTTTCTGGCGTTTCTGTGTTTGCCCAGTGCCTTGCCCAGCCCTTCCCATGAGTTTCAGCTTGTCCCAGGCTGGGCCCCTGGACACACCTCTGCACACAGCCAAAGGGAGGAGGGCAGTGGCAGGCGGTTTCTCCCCGTCACACGCGGTGAGCCAGTAAGAAATGGCACTAAAGGACGGCTCCGCCATAGGCCCCGATCCCCAGCAAGAGCCCCTGAGAACTCCAGCGGCCCTGCAGAAGGAGAGCTCAGGGCAGCCACAGCTCCACCCTTCCGAAGCAGAAGCCCGAGAGGTGCAGGAGAAAACCAGGCTAGAGCCTGACTCATCACAGATCCCTTTATTGTGCATCCCTATAAATACAGACCTTCCCAAGGACATTGTGACCCCTCCTCCCCCCGTCACGGCGGGGCGGCCATCACAGAACAGTGTGGTTAGAGATCACAGGTACAAAAACAGCCCCAGGCCAGTGGTGCAGGCCAACGTGACCCCTGGAACCAGTACACTGGGGGCCTTGTGGCCAGATACGGCATTTGGCAAGTGATTGGGGGCAGGAGGTGCTTGGAGCTGGGGGGAGTAGGGGAGGTTCTTCCCTCGCATTGTTCATCCAGTTCCTTCATGTGTTCGGACGCTCGCTCCCATCTCCTGGGAACAGGCGAGAGCTGGGCCAGAGAGGGCCCCCCAGGGCAGTGGGGCAGGGGAACAGCCCATACGCAGCTCAGCGCAGTATGGGGGGGGGCTCCCCTGGGGAGTCCCTGTCATATTCCCTGCACTGCCCAGGCTGGTTGGTGGGCGAATATATGGGGCAGCCCCTTTACCCTCCCCCATTAGGAATTTGCCCCATTAGTGCTCACCCCACATGGCCCAATCAGAGCTGGAGCAGCTCCCCCTCCCACAGGGCTGGGGGTTGCAGGGTGGAGGGGGCCGTCACCCCCTCCCCACCCTGGCCCACTGTGAATCCAACCCTCTCCCCCACAGTGCAGTCGCCCTGCCCGGCACCCTGGAGTCCAGCTGCAGGAAGCACGCGGCGATGCTGGGAGCTCTGCTCCCGCCGGTCCTCGGGGTGGCCCCCTAGAGATTCTCTGACGTGGCAGGGTTGGCGTAGAAGGCGTTGGTGCCGTTGCCGGTGGCGATCTGGGAGGAAGCAGAGGGGATGGGGTTAGAGCCAGGCTGGGCCAATCCACCGTTACCTGGCAACAGGACCCCCAACCAGGCAACCACCACGTACCCCGTCGGCATGGAAACCGGGGCTCTGGGGCTGGGGAGGGGCTCAGTGGGCCGAGCCCTGGCGAACAGACCCCAGTCCCATTCGATCCCGGCTACCCCATCCCTGGCAGCAGGGAGAGACCTCAGGGACCGCACCAGCTCCGCCGCCCCACGGCAGCGTGGGGGGCACGTGATGGGGCTGAGGGAAGGTGACCCCACCCCAGAGCCCCGCAGGGCTGTGGCTGCCTCACGGGGTTAATGTTCAGAGCACCTGGCGCCGCAGGAGCAAGCGCTGGACTCCTGCCAGCAGCACCACAAACAGCCCAGTGTCTACTGTAAATATGGCTCTTGTCACGCGCCCAGCTCTGCCCCTCACTGCCCCCCACCCCGACCTGCACAGGCCTGCCCTGCCAGCGGGCCAGGGGTCCGGGCGGAGGGGGCACACCCTCCAGGCAACGCCAGCCCCTCCAAGGTGCCTAGGAGCTGGCTACGCGCCCCGCCTGTCCCGCCCCAGCTTCCCATGACTTGGCTCTTTTGTCTCTAGCCGGCGCAGAGGTAAATATTTACTCAGGCCTCAGGCCGGGTGTTTGAACAGCCTGAGCCACCGGCTGCAGAGCAGAGGAGCTGGAGCCAGCCCAGCGAGGAACAGGGACACAAACACCCACCGGGGCGGCTTCAGGGCCCAGCCCCCCAGGAACCTCACCGGGCAGCAGGGCTTCTCTGCCATGCCAAATGCACAGCCGGTGACAACAGGGACTGACGAGCCCCCAGCTGCCCACTCCTCCGAGCGCCGGCTCACGCCAGCTCCCAGCCCAGCCCAGGCGGCTCAGCTGGCGGGGCCCCCCGCAGACGCACCCCCCACCCCCTGCAGAGGGGCTGCAGGCTCTTGGTGCTGGCATCACTAGGCCCCTCACGCTGATAGTGCCCCCCAAGTCCTCCACCCCTGCACCGGCCTCGGCTCCCCGTCACTGAGCCCTGGCAGAGCTCCTGGCAGCCCCGGCGCGCCATGGCACCAGGCAGCTGTGCCGGGCCGGCGCCGGGGGCAGCGGGCAAGGGGGCAGGGGAGGCTGTTCAGTCACAGGGAGAGAAACGTGGAGCCGAGGAGGCACCAGCCACCCGCTAAGGGCTGCCGGGGCTCCATGGGGAGGCAAAACCAGAGCCTCACGTCCAGACTCCGCCTGCTCCCGCCCAGCCGCCCTCCCCGAGGGCACCTGCCACCCCGGGCTCAGCAGGGGCCTCGGCTGCCCTTCCACCGGTCAGCAGGGGCGTGAGAGCAACACTAACCCCCCGTCCCGGGGCAGGAGCAGGGCCGCCTGGGATCCATGGGCACAGTGCAGGGGGCAGAGCCCAGCCAGGCCGCCCCGGGCAAGGGGCCCAGCCAGCGCTGCCAAGGGGGCCATTTGTAGAGAGCCTTGTCTCAGAGCCAGGCATCGACCCACCTCCACCCCCCTCCCTGCCTGCCCCACCACCTCGCTCTGCCCCCCCCCCCCCCACCACCTCCTCTCACCCCCTCCCCCTCCCTGCCTGCCCCACCACCTCACTCTGCGACCCCCACCCCCTCCCTGCCTACCCCACCACCTCGCTCTGCGACCACACCCCCTCCCTGCCTGCCCCACCACCTCGCTCTGTGACCCCCTCCCCCTCCCTGCCTACCCCACCACCTCGCTCTGCGACCACACCCCATCCCACTACCCCACCCTCAACCTCACCCCCACTCCATCGCCCCTACCCACAGTGCCATCCTCTGACCCCACTCCCCTCCCTCCCTGCCCCCACCACCTAGCTCTGCGACCCCCTCCCCCTCCCCCTGCCTGCCCCACCACCTCGCTCTGCGACCCCCCCCCCTCCCCCCCCTCCTCCCTCCCCCCCCCCCCCCCCCCTGCCCCACCACCTCGCTCCTGCGACCCCACCCCCCTCCCTCCCCTCCCTGCCCCACCACCTCGCTCTGCGACCACACCCCATCCCACTACCCCACCCTCAACTTCACCCCCACTCCATCCCCCCTACCCACAGTGCCATCCTCTGACCCCACTCCCCTCCCTCCCTGCCCCACCACCTAGCTCTGCAACCCCCTCCCCCTCCCTGCCTGCCCCACCACCTCGCTCTGCAACCCCACCCCCCTCCCTGCCTGCCCCACCACCTCGCTCTGCGACCCCACCCCCTCCCTGCCTGCCCCACCACCTCGCTCTGCGACCCCACCCCCCCTCCCTCCCTGCCCCACCACCTCACTCTGCGACCCCCTCCCCCTCCCTGCCTACCCCACCACCTCGCTCTGCGACCCCACCCCCCTCCCTGCCTGCCCCACCACCTCGCTCTGCGACCCCCTCCCCCCTCCCCCCCCCCCCCCCCCCCCCCTGCCTGCCCCACCACCTCGCTCTGCGACCCCCTCCCCCCCTCCCTGCCTGCCCCACCACCTCGCTCTGCGACCCCCTCCCCCTCCCTGCCTGCCCCACCACCTCGCTCTGCACCCCACCCCCCCTCCCTGCCTACCCCACCACCTCGCTCTGCGACCCCCTCCCTCTCCCTGCCTGCCCCACCACCTCGCTCTGCGACCCCCTCCCCCCTCCCTGCCTGCCCCACCATCTCGCTCTGCGACCCCACCCCCCTCCCCTGCCTGCCCCACCACCTCGCTCTGCGACCCCCTCCCCCCCTCCCTCCCTGCCCCACCACGTAGCTCTGCGACCCCCTCCCCCTCCCCCTGCCTGCCCCACCACCTCGCTGTGCGACCCCACCCCCTCCCTCCCTGCCCCACCACCTCGCTCTGCGACCCCCTCCCCCTCCCTGCCTGCCCCATCACCTCGCTCTGCGACCCCACCCCCCTCCCTCCCTGCCCCACCACCTCACTCTGCGACCCCCTCCCCCTCCCTGCCTGCCCCACCACCTCGCTCTGCAACCCCCCTCCCCCCTCCCTCCCTGCCCCACCACTTCGCTCTGCGACCCCCTCCCCCCTCCCTGCCTGCCCCACCACCTCGCTCTGCGACCCCACCCCCCCTCCCTGCCTGCCCCACTTCCTCGCTCTGTGACCCCCTCCCTCTCCCTGCCTGCCCCACCACCTCGCTCTGCGACCCCACCCCCCCTCCCTGCCTGCCCCACCACCTCGCTCTGCGACCTCCTCCCCCCTCCCTCCCTGCCCCACCACCTCGTTCTGTGACCCCCTCCCCCTCCCACCCTGCCCCACCACCTCGCTCTGCGACCCCACCCCCCCTCCCTGCCTGCCCCACCACCTCGTTCTGTGACCCCTTCCCCCTCCCACCCTGCCCCACCACCTCGCTCTGCGACCCCACCCCCCCTCCCTCCCTGCCCCACCACCTTGCTCTGCGACCCCCACCTCCATCTCTGCCCCACTACCCCACCCTCAACCTCATCCCCATTCTATCCCCCTACCCACAGTGCCATCCTCTGACCCCAACCTCCTCCCTCCCTGCCCTACCACTCCACCTCCTCTCCATCACCTCACCCTGCCCCTACCCCCACTACCAAAGCCACCCTCTGACCCCCCTCTCACTCCGTCCCCCCACCCACTGTTGCACCCTCTGATCCCAGCCCCACTCCAGGCCCCCGCCCCTCTGGAGCAAGGCAGGGGGCTCGTTCCCCACAGACAGCAGCAGGAGTCACAGAGTCCAGGTTGGACTGTCCCAGGCCGGCCGGCCCATGGTGACCATCTCGTCTGACCAGAGACCGGCCCGGAGTGAATTGCTGCCGAACTAGGGCCGAGCGTTCAGCAAACGCCCTGTCTGGCGCAGGACCTGCCGGGGCCGGAGAAGCCAGCGGGGCCGGGGGCTGGTCAGGGGTTACTTGCCCCCAGCCACACCTAACGCTCTTCCCAGGCTGAGGCGGAGGAGCCGGTCGGTGGCTCCTTCTTTCTCTCCCCAAACAGCCCTGCTGAGGGTCCCGCTGGAGCCGCGCCGAGCCCCCATGGGAATGGAGAGCGATGGGGCGGGGGTACGGACCATCCGAGCCCTGGTCCCAGGGCAGGCAGGGACAGGGGACGCTGGTGCTGCCCAAGACAGGACAGGCCATGGCAGGTACAGGACTGGCGGCCCCCAGAGACCTGGGCTGAGCCGTGGGGGCGGGGCGGGCAGAGCCATTAGCTGCTGGTTTCACATCAGCCAGGAGCTGCCCTGTTAGTGATTAACTCAGCGAGGGGGGGCCGGGGTCAAGGTCAGAGGCTGCCCCACGGGACCTGGGCTGCAGCCACCTGACTGGGGAGAACAACACTTCCCCGGACTCTGGTCAGACCCATCCCCTGTCCCCCCAGGAACATGCACCCCCACACCACAGGACTACCCGCCAGGACCTCGCTCTATAATCCCCCAGACACCCCCCTGTTGCATCACCCGCAGGAACCACACCCCATAACCAAACCAAGACCATGCTCTATAATCCCACAGGATCACACCACATAACCCCCTCTCTACCCCAGGAACACCCCCCACATTGCATCACCCCAGCACATCCCCCCCCCTGACGAGCTGTTGTGACAAAGTGGGACTGTTCTTAATGTTTCCTCTGAATAGTGTGGGGGTGCCTCAGTTTCCCCTGTGCAGTTCTTAAGTATCTAGCTGGTGGGGTAAGGGGGTATGATCGTTGCAGAGCCCTAGAGGGCAGGTGTGTGCAGGGGTCTGGACACAGACAATGGCCAACACCCTGTTTCCTGGCAACTGATGGCCTGGGCCCTTCCCCCTGCAAGGTGAGAGCTAAAGGGTTGGAGAACAAAGGAATCCAGTGACCTCCTGACCCGGGAAAGGGACAAAGCCCAGAGGAGGAGGGGCTGGAGGGAGTTTCAGTTTGGGGCTGGCTGGGACATGGAGTGAAGTGCAGAAGTGGTTGTCTGGCTCACTGCCCCCCAAAATGGACCCGGCTGAGGGTTCCGGTTCTCTGCACTTACAAGCTCTGTGTTAGACCATGTTCCTGTCATCTAATAAACCCTCTGTTTTACTGGCTGGGTGAGAGTCACGTCTGACTGCGGAGTTGGGGGGCAGGACCCTCTGGCTTCCCCAGGACCCCGACTGAGTGGACTGGCTGTGGGAAGCGCACGGAGGGGCAGAGGAGGCTGAATGCTCCGAGGTCAGACCCAGGGAGGTGGAAGCTGTGTGAGCTGCGTGTCCTGAAGACAGGCTGCTCACAGAAAGGCGACTGCCCCAGAGTCCTGACTGGCTTCATGGGGAGCAGTTCCAGAGCATCGCCCAGGGACTCCGTGACAGCTGTATAGTGCAGCAGGGCCCCGTGCTTACATTCCTGGCTCTGGGATCCCCTTTGCCCTTCTCCCGGCCAGCTCTGTCCTGGGGGGTGCATTGCGTGGGACACAGTTAGGACCGTGGGAAGCACCGTGCCGCCATCATGCACTAGCCCCCCCACACCTCCGGGTTTGTGTTCTTCTCTCTGGTGAAATTTTCTGGGATGAGCTCACCAACACCCTTTTCCCCTCAAAACCTCCCCTCAGTGAGCAATGTGGGGGACATCCACCCCCAGCGTGTGCCTGGCAGGGGTGCCATGTACTGGGGGCCGGCGTCCGGGGTGCACCCAGGCAGTGTACGGAGACAGGCATTGGGGCACATGCTGGGCAAGGGGGCACCCCAGGGCAGGACCAGGCCCCGCTGCTTACGTCACTGTAGGGGTTCTGCTTCTTGCCAGGGGCGCTGAAGCGCCCGTGGGTGTGGTAGGTGGGGTACTCGCTCATGGGCTGGTATGAGGCCTGCGAGCTGAACATATCCAGCTTCCCACGGTTCCTCCTGCAGCACGAGCAGACGATCTAGAGGGGCGAGAGGAGGCTGGTGAGCGGGGGCGCGGAGGGGATGCAGGGGTCAGGCAGGGAGAAGGAGAGAGGCTGGAGGGGCCTGAGGCCGGAGGGATGGGCAGCGGGGGGGCACTCACCAGCAGGATGAAGAGGAGAATGCTCAGCACCAGCCCAATGCAGACCAGGACCAGCAGGGCGATGCCCCAGCCGGGCACCAGGGGTGCTGGCGCCGAGGTGGGCGAACTTGTTCCGATAAAACTGGCTGAAACACAAGTAGGAGCAGTCAGGGGCTGGGGAGGACCCGGAGGGGAGGGATCCCGTAGAGGGGCCCACGCCAGGGGACGCAGCTGGCCAGGCAGAAGAGCCAGGGAAAGGGGCTGGCCCAGGGGTGCTGGGAAGAGGCTGAGTTGATGGCCGGGGGCCCAGCCCCAGGGTCAGCGAGGACGGCTCTGAATGGGCACCCTGCCAGGGGGCCCAGAAACCCTCCCTCCCTCCCTGGGACAGATACAGGCTGGGCCGGGCTGGCAGGGCAGGGCAGGCACCCTCCACAGACACGCCCCAAAGCAGCCCAGCCAGGGGCCTCTGCTGGGAGCTGGAGGAGCCCCCGGGGGCAGCCCGGTCTCCACAGAGCTCTGCACAAGGGCCAAGGACACCAGCCCCCCTCAGCCATGGGCTGAGCCCCCCAGGACAGGGACCCCCGGACACGTGGCTGTGGCCACACTGTGGGGCCCGGCTGGAGCCTGCTCACCGCGGATACTGTCCAGCTGGAGCCCATCAAAGCTGTTATTCCTGCCCAGCCTTTGTCTCAGCTGCTGCTCAATGTCGGCGGCGCTGATGCTGGTGTCGTCGCTCACTCGGTACAGCAGGACGGACTCTGTCACCACCGAGCCCTGGCTGCCGAGCGTGCCGGAGAGGGGGCGTTAACTGGGTCTGGCCCCGGCCCTTCCCGTGCCCCTGCACCAGCTCCCCTATTCCCACCTGCCCCTGCTCCGGCTCCTCCATTCCCACCTGCCCCCGCACCAACCTCCCCTATTCCCACCTGCCCCTGCCCCAACCTCCCCTATTCCCACCTGCCCCCGCACCAACCTCCCCTATTCCCACCTGCCCCTGCACCAACCTCCCCTATTCCCACCTGCCCCTGCCCAACCCCCCCTATTCCCACCTGCCCCTGCCCCAACCTCCCCTATTCCCACCTGCCCCCGCACCAACCTCCCCTATTCCCACCTGCCCCTGCACCAACCTCCCCTATTCCCACCAGCCCCTGCTCCGGCTCCTCCATTCCCACCAGCCCCCGCACAAACCTCCACTATTCCCACCTGCCTCTGCCCCAACCCTGCCCTTCCCACCTGTCCCTGCACCAACCTCCCCTATTCCCACCTGCCCCTGCACCAACCTCCCCTATTCCCACCTGCCCCTGCTCTGGCTCCTCCATTCCCACCTGCCCCTACCCCTGCCACAGCCCCCCAGGGCAGCACACCTGCCCAGCACGGCCTCAGGCAGCCAAAGCTCTGGGCTGCTCAGACATGTCCCCCCCAGGGTCACACGCTCACAGATTTAGCCTCTCTCTCCTCACCTTTCTCCCCCACCCCAACCCAGGAGGCAGCAGGCTGCCCCCTTCCCTGCCCACAGCTGGGGCAGCCCCATGGCACACACTGTACCTGAAACGCAGATCAGTCAATCCCAGGTAGTTCTGCCCATTCGGGCACGTTGGGCAGCCATAGATCTTGCCGTACTGTCACAGACAGAGGGGAACAGGGTCACCGCCAGCACCCAGCCAGCTCGGGGAGGCTGGGAGCACCCAGCTTGGCGGATCTGCCCCGGCCCCTGCCAACCTTCCTTGTTCTTCTCTGTGCTCTTCGCTGGGGTGCAGGGGCACGGGGTGTCTCCCCACAGCTGGCTGGAGAGGGGCAGAGGGGCCCAGAGCCGAGGGCAGGGTCCCGGGGAGGGGGCTCCCCAGACAGGATTGAGGGTCTGTCCCTTCACTGCTCCAGGACAGGAGACTCGGGCTGAGGGGCCTGGTGCCCAGGGCTGGGCCGGGGGGTGGGGTGGGGGTGTCTCCCCTCCCTGCTCCATGGGGTCTCTGTGTGTGGAGCCCGAACGGCAGCAGCCACCAGAGGCCCGAAGGCTCACGGCAGCTCGATGGAGCTCCCCGCGAAGCCCCCAGCCTGGGGCTGGCAGCCACCCCCAGCTGGCAGGCCGGGGCAGGGTGCCGGGAGGGGAGGGAGGGGCTGCTGTGCTCACCATGATCTGGATAGTGACTTGCAACTTCAGGTAGTTAATGGAGTTGGGGTCGAGAAGAGAGTTGTCGAAGATCCTGTTCACAATGCGGAACAAGAGAGAGATTCGGATCACGACTGTCGTGGAGGGGCTCCGGGTTGAGGTCGTGTTGGTGCTGCCGGGGGGAGTGGTGTTTGCAATTTTGGTGGCGGTCACATCGCCAGGGACGGTCGTGTCGCCAGGAGGCCCGGGGGTAATCGTGTCACCGGGGAGTGTGGGTGTGGTTGTGTCACCGAGGGGGGCCGGGGTGGTCGTGTCACCGGGGAGTGTGGGGGTGGTTGTGTCACCGAGGGGGCCGGGGTGGTTGTGTCACCGGGGAGTGTGGGTGTGGTTGTGTCACCAGGGGGTGCTGGGGTGGTTGTGTCACCGGGGAGTGTGGGGGTGGTTGTGTCACCGGGGGTAGTCGTGTCGCCAGGAGGCCCGGGGGTAATCGTGTCACCGGGGAGTGTGGGGGTGGTCGTGTCACCGGGGAGTGTGGGGGTGGTTGTGTCACTGAGGGGGGCCGGGGTGGTTGTGTCACTGGGAGGCTCAGGGGTGGTTGTGTCACCGGGGGAAGTCATGTCACCGGGGAGTGTGGGGGTGGTTGTGTCACCGGGGAGTGTGGGTGTGGTTGTGTCACCAGGGGGTGCCGGGGTCGTTGTGTCGCCGGGAGGCTCAGGGGTGGTTGTGTTGCCAGGAGACCCAGGGGTGGTTGTGTCACCGGGAGGCTCAGGGGTGGTTGTGTCGCCAGGGGGTGCCAGGGTGGTTGTGTCACCAGGGGTAGTCGTATCGCCAGGAGGACTGGGGGTAGTCGTCTCGCTGGGAGGCCCGGGGGTAGTCGTGTCACCGGGGAGTGTGGGGGTGGTTGTGTCACCGAGGGGGGCCGGGGTGGTTGTGTCACTGGGAGGCTCAGGGGTGGTTGTGTCACCAGGGGTAGTCGTGTCACCAGGAGGCCCGGGGGTAGTCGTGTCACCGGGGAGTGTGGGTGTGGTTGTGTCACCGAGGGGGGCCGGGGTGGTTGTGTCACCGAGGGGGGCCGGGGTGGTTGTGTCCCCTTGGGGCATGGGGGTGGTCGTGTCGCTGGCGGGTGCCGTGCCGGCTGTGGCCGTGTTGGCGGTCGTGTTTCCTAGGAGAGAATCGGTCTGTTCAGTTCAGAGAAAACAGAACAAAATGTGGGGTTCAAGTGAGGAGCAGAAACCCCCAGGGCCATCAGGCGCCCAGGAGTCAGGGGCAGTTATTTTACACAGCACGTGATGAGCCTGGGGAACTCACTGCCACAAGGTCCCAGCGAGGCCGAAAGCTCCCAGGGCTCAGCCAAGGCCTGGCCTGTCACAGGGACAAGGGGGGCAGCTGGTGACCCCGAGGGGATGAAGTGGCTCCTAGGCAGGGGTCAGACAAGGAGGGGGCACGTCACTGTTGCCTGGGGGTCCTGCAGGAGCCGGGGGTGGCCTGTGGGGACAGGTCCCGGGGCCGTGCTGATGATCCCCGTGCTGGTTGGATGGGAGCGACTGGAGCGCCTGGGGCCGCAGCCTGACAGATCGAGTCCCCCTCCCCCCCCCCGAACTCGGAGAGGGGCTGCGCTGCCGGGGCTCCAACACCCCGATGTGGGGTCTGACGTGGACCCCTACCAGCGACCCCTGGGCTCCAGCACAGCTCAGCCCCGCTGCGGATCAGGCACCTTCCCCGAGCCCCGTGTCTGGAGGCCGGACTCGGTGCGTGGAGCCGGGTGTCGGGAGCCCTTGGGGTCCCACCTGGAGCTGCCCGATGTCCCCCGTAGAGACAAGCCCTGCAGGGTCCCCGGGGAGCTGCCCCCACCCCTGGGTTCCCCGGAAAGCTCCCCAGACCTGTGTGCCCCGTGTGGCGCGAGCCGTGGGGCGGGCTGGGCTGGGCTCTGCCTCCCTCCTTTTCACAGATGGATGGGGCTGAGCCCCAGGGGCAGGGCCCTCCCTGCCCCTCCTGGCCTCTCCTCTGCCTGCTGGCACGCCCCAAGGCAGGGCTGCTGGAACAATTTGTACAGTGCGGGAGCTGAGAGCCATTGAAGCAAAGTTTAACCCTGTGTATGATGGAAACCACTTCAAGCCAAGGGGTGCGGCAGCCCCTAGCTGCCCTAGCTCCACACCTGTGCCCCCAGGCAGTGCGGGCAGCCGGGGCTCCAGCCCTGGAGCGCTGAGGCTCCGACCCCATCCTTCCTGGGCCTCGCACGTCCCGCTGCGGCGTCCCGCTGAGCAATTCCTGCCGCTAACACAGCAGCCCACCCCGATGCCGAGAGCCCGGCCGGCCAGTGAGCAGCACTGCCCCGCTCACAGGCGGCCCATGGGCCACGCAGTCCTGGGACTGATAAAGACGCCCTCGACCTGAGCCCGCAGCTGGGGCCTGTCCTGCAGCCAGCACCAGCCTGGGGCTAACATCCCCCCTTCTCTTGGGGCGCGTGTCCCGGCCTCCTGGCAGGTCACTCGGGGCGTGGGCTCCCTGCACTCTCAGGAAGGGACCCACATGCTGCCCCCGGGGGTCCTGGACCGGACGTTCCCTGCTGGGCTTCCCTGACTGGTCCTGGGCCGTTAGCACTGGGCTCAGCCAGACCGACACAGTCCAGACACACCTGCGTCAGCCCCTGGGGAGTGTCGGCCAATGGCTGTCGGCCAACGCCCTCCTGGGTCCCAACCCGGGAGTTCCTGGGCACCGTCAGAAAGGGGCTCGGGGGAGGAGAAGGGGCTCCCCAAAGCACCCAGCCCAGGGGAGAGGGGACCCCATGAACACAGAGCCCTGGGTGGGGCTGCGCAGAGGGCACCCTAGGAACACTGGACCCTGGGGGGGGCTGGGCAGAGGGGACCCCAGTAACACTGGGCCCTTGTGCGGGAGCTGGGCAGAGGGGACCCCAAGAACACTGGGTGCTGCCCATTGTTCTCTGGGTCACTGCAGCATCTGGGACAATCAGGCCCCACTCGCCCATTGTCCCCCGTCGAGGGGCAGGTCAGTGGATCAAGGCAGCGGAACAGAGCTGGGCCCTGGGGCTGCCGGACCTGCTGAGCCATGGCCCCACCCCCATCTGAGCAGCCCAGTGCCCCGGGGTGGGTCTGAGCCGACTCCACAAGTGCTGCTCAGGCCCGATGGCCCCCTCCCAGCAGCTCCTGGAGACTAAGGCTCACCTGTGGCCAGCAGCAGCAGGACTAGACCCAGCCGCAGGGCATCTGTGCTCAGGCTTCTGGGCTTCATGGTGGCTGGTGGGGTCGGGGCTTGGCCCCAGGTGTCCCAGCACCGGGCTCTGTCTCTCTCTGCCTCGCCCGGTGGGGCTGCGCCTCCCGTTAGCCCACAGGGCTCTCGACAGTCCAGGAATCAGGAACTGGCAGCGGCTCTGGGGCTGGAGCTTTATAGCAGCACCTGCGAGCAGGTGTGGCCTCACCCAGCGGGCTGGGGACATTCCCAGGAGCTTGCTCCGTGTCACCCAGGTCTGTGCTGGTCTTGGGGCCCTGCCCTCCAGGGCACCCCCAGCCCTGGGGCCATGCCCCCACCTACCCCCAGCCCTACCTCACCTGCCCTCCCTAGATAGGAGATGGGTGTGGAAAGGTCACAGAACAAATCCCTGGATTGTCCCCAGCACAGGGGCTCGGTGAGGGCCAGGGGAGGGCCCCGAACTGGGGCTGGGGAGAGGCCCCCCTGGGTGGAGAATGGGGCAGAAGCCCCAGGCTGGAGGAACGTGTGGATCTGATTCCCCCGTCCCATCTGAGCACAGTCCTGGCCTTGTACCACAGCTCCAGAGGGGGTGAGAGGGGAACCAGGCCCAGAGATGGGGGTGAGGGGAGGGTCCCTGCAGCCCCTTGGCTCAGATACCTTGGGGCCTCGGTGCTGCTTGGCTGGCCGCCTAGTCCCCTCCCCAGCTCACGCCCGGTGTGGGGTTAATCATTCCAGGCACCAGCTATTGTCTGGCCCTGGGCTCCCCTCATCTGCCCCAGATTCACCCATGCAGAATGCACATGGTGTAAGCCCCAGGGCATGCCCAGGTGGGCGCCCACCCTGCCGGGTGCCAGCAGCCCTCGCTCTGCTGGGCACCAGCGCCCCCCATCCCTCCCCACCCCAGTCTCCCACCTGCCATGGTTCTGGGACTGGAGTGACCGTGACTCTCCCTCTGCTGGCACTAGGGCCTCTGCCCCCTCCCTGCTTCTGCCCACGACCTGCCATCATGCCCCTTGCATCTGAGTCAGTGACCCAGGCCCAAGCCAAGGGCGCCCTGGGGAAGGGGAGCCCAGTGGCAGCAGTGAGTTCTGTGCTGAGCCCCAGAGTCCCTGCCCCACCTGCACTGAGTCCATGGGGGGCTTGGCCTTGTGTGTCGCTGGAGTTCCCAGTGCCTGGGCAGGGAGGATGCGGGGTCAGGTCTGCAGCACCAGGAACTGGGGAACACGGTCCTCTGCCCAGCGCCCTTGCCGGACCACGGCGCCAGCCATGGCCGCCCAGACTCCCAGCCCCCCGGATGCTGCCAGGAGAGTCGGTGACATGGAGCTCGTGTTTGCTAACAGGGCGGAAGCGAGAGCAGGGCTTACCCAACAGAAACAAGGAAAAAGGGAAAAACAGCTTCACCCAGGCATGTCATGAGCAGGCCAGGGCTGCTGACGCCATGCCGGGGCAGGGCAGGGAGACATGATCGGAGAGGGGGCTGTCTCCATACGGGAGCCCCAGGCCTGGGGCCAGCCGCCAGAGCTGGGCATCCTGCCCAGCCGTGTCCCACTGCCACATCAGGGATCCAAGAGGCGAGGCGACCATGGGAATCAGCTGCAGGGATCAGGAGCGGGAGGGGCAGGCCCAGGGAGACCCCAGGAGCTCGGGTCTGGCCCAGCGCTGCGGTGCGAGGTCTCTGTGCTGGACTGGGGCGGGCTGAGGCCGAGTACTGCACTCACAATGTGGGGAGCGTCCGGCAGGAGCAGGGCAGAGCTGGGGCTGTTCAGGAAACTGGGCAAAGACATCCGGGGCCGGGGGGGGCTTCGCTGCGGAATGACACCAGGGCAGCTGGGTTTGAAGAGCGTCCAGCGGGGCTGAGCGGAGACCAATGGCCAGCAGAGATTTGCAGGGTCAGCGCTTCCCAAAGGGACGTGGCAGCCCAGGGCGACAGAACTGCTGTCAGGCTAATCAGAGGCCATGGGTCTGCAAGAAATGTGGAGGCGACCACCACACCATGCTGAGCCCACGGGGCAAGAGCAGCTCACGCAAGGAACGCAGCAGTGCCAGAAGCACGTTACCCCTGCAGAGAGCTGCAAAATCCAGGACCCCCTGCAGCTGGGGCGGCCCGGACTCTGGCGGAGACGAGGCAGAAGCAGGGTCTGCCTGGGTCTCATGCTAGGTGCACAAAGGCAGGTGCTGAGCATGGTGTGACCCCCGACATACAAGGTGAGCGAGTGCCCAGGGTTCACACGGAAACCTGGTTCCCTAGGCGGGTGCAGAATGAGCCCCGCTGTGAGGCTGCACCAGCTGGTCCGATAAGAACGGAGGCCCCGCAGTGTGTTTGAAGTAGCAGCGCTGGAAGCCTCCTGTGTCCTTGGCCTGCAAACTCAGATAGTCCAGCAGGTGCATGACCTACGCGGCAAACTGCCCAAAGCCCCTTAGCCTGGGAGAAAAAGGAAACTCAGACGCCAGCTGACTGGGCTGGCAGGGGGGCGCAGTAATAAAAGCAAACGAGGGAAGAGATTATGCAGATTCAGATGATCCAAGGACGCGACGGACCATGAGCACTGCCCCTCAGGAGCTACTGGCAGGCACCGGGGTGCTGAGCCAGGGCACAAGCCAAGGGTGTGGCTGGCAGATTGGGGGAAAGCAACTTCCCTTGGGTGCTGCCCTCGCCCCTGAGCTACAAGGCCCTGAGCAACCTACCCAGATCGCTGAGCAGCTGGCTGGGCGGGAGCAACTATCGACGGTCCCGGTCCTCTGCCGTGGGGCAAAAATGATCCGTGCCCCGTGCACTGGGTGACTGACGTGCTGGGGGTGGGGTGGGGGGAAGATGGGATCTCTCCAATGGGGCAGCGGTTCCCAGGCCTGCAGAGGGAGGGGTGAGCTCCTTTGTAACCAGCCCCCCCTTCTCGCTGCCTCATTCCAGGAACTGGGGCAAAGGGGGGTCAGACGGGCAGGGGATGGACACAGGGTGCAAGGGGAGGGCCAAGACTGGTGCCTCTCCCTATCTCTCCCATGCCTTCTACACCCCCTGCCCTGGCCATGTCTATCTGCCCCGGGCCCTCTGCACCCCCCGCCCTGGCCGTGTCTATCTGCCCCGTGCCCTCTGCACCCCCCGCCCTGGCCGTGTCTATCTGCCGTGGGCCCCCTACACGCCCCGCTCTGGCCATGTGTCGTCCCCCCCCGCAGTGTAACGTTGTAAAGTGTGGGCGGGGGGGATCCGGTGGGCTCCTCACCTCCTGCCCCAGCCCTTCCCACATCCCTGTGGCCCCTGTTGGGCGGTGAGGGCAGCTCATTGCTCGAGCGACGCTGCCTCCTGCTGGGCATGTCTGTGTTCGCAGCAGCTCCCCTGGCCGCTCGGAGGAGGCGCCTGACGCTGCGCTGGGGTCTCTGAAGTGCAGGTGAGTCTGAGCCTGAGCGAGGGTCCCCAGGACAGGACAGTTCGGGGCCCGGCCCCTCGCTGAGCACCAGCCGCGTCATCGTGCCTGGTTCTCTGGAAACGTGCTCAGCGTGCAGCGGCTGGCTAAGTAGAGGACACGGTGCTAGGCCCTGCTAGGGAAGGGGATAGACAATGAGACAGTAAATACGTAATGGCACGATGTAAACCCCTGGTATCCCCCGCCCGAACACGGCCTGCGGGGCTGGTCGCCCCCTCTCTGAAAGACGTATTAGCCTTGGAAAAGGGGCAGAGAAGGGCAACAAAAACCGTCAGGGGGCTGGAACAGCTTCCGTACGAGGAGAGATTAAACCTGGGACAGGTTCAGCTTGGAAAGGAGCCGACTAAGGGGGGGCTATGACAGAGGGCTATAAATCTTGAGTGGTGTGGAAAAAGCAAATAAGGAAAAATTATTTACCCCTTCATGTAACACAAGAACCAGGGATCACCCAATGAAATTAATAGGCAACAAGTTTAAAACAAATCTGAGAAAGTATTTCTTCACATGACGCACAGTCCACCTGTGGAACTCATTGCCAAGGGATGTTGTGAAGGCCAAAATTGGAACTGGGTTCAAAAAGGAATGAGATACATTCTCACCCTGCTCTCTGCTCTAGCTCAATTCCTTCCCGTTGTGCACCAAACACCATGACTAACATCGGCGAGAGACAGGGTGGGTGGGGTAATATCTGGTATTGGACCAATGCCCGAACTACACCGAGCTCTTCTTACGCTCTGTAGCTTGAAAGCTGGTACCTTCCACCACCAGACACTGGTCCAGGGAAAGCTTTTCCCTCACCCACCTCAACTGCTGGGACCAGCGCTGCTACGACCCTGCAACTGACTAACAGGTGTCCCATGTGGTTCATTTTCTCTCCACGTCTCTCCCCAGGGCAGGGGGATTGTGTTTGGGAACAGTCAGACTGGGTCAGACCTGAGGTCCGTCAGTGTCTCTCTTTGACAGGGCAGCACCAGATGCTGCATAGGAAGGTGTAAATACCTCGCATTAGGCAGATGTGTGAGTCTCTACTCCCGCCCCCGGAAAGTCTCACTCATTCATTTAGATACCCTGGGACCAGGCCAGGAGGCGCCTTGACACAGAGACCTTGAACTTGGCTCTGTTCTTGGGCAGGCCAGCGTAGGGAGCAGAGGGCAGGGTGATGCGCTCATGGGATCCAGTCTTGCTGAGGAGACACCCTGCAGGGAGCCAGGCAGGAAGCAGGGCACAGACGCCTCTTAAAAATGGTGTTTTGTGTCTGCGAATTTCATGTGCCTGCCATCAATTGCAAACCTCCAGCCCGGCCACTGGCAGCTCCCTAGCGCCCTCTGGTGGGCACTGCCCCCAGCACTGCCCCTGGCAGGTCCACAGCGCCCTCTGGTGGGCCCAGCCCCCAGCACTGCCCCTGGCAGCTCCACAGCGCCCTCTGGTGGGCCCAGACCTGAACACTTCCACTGGCAGCTCCACAGCGCCCTCTGGTGGGCCCAGACCTGAACACTTCCACTGGCAGCTCCACAGCGCCCTCTGGTGGGCCCAGCCCCCAGCACTGCCCACTGGCAGCTCTACAGCGCCCTCTGGTGGGCCCAGCCCCCAGCACAGCCCACTGGCAGCTCCACAGCGCCCTCTGGTGGGCCCAGCCCCCAGCACTGCCCACTGGCAGCTCCACAGCGCCCTCTGGTGGGCCCAGCCCCCAGCACTGCCCACTGGCAGCTCCACAGCACCCTCTGGTGGGCCCAGCCGCCAGC